CCTATGGCTTCCCACACCATCCCACACCCACTAAGCCATAGTCCTTGTGTTGAGTGTATCCACTTGTGTGTTTGCCTTGGCCAGAGCACTGTGGGCTTCTTGTGGGTGTGGACCCATGCCTGATCCACACTACACGTTTCTGCCTAACTCAGGCATGACACCTAGTAAGACCTTGTTATATCCTAAGGTCACACCACAACCAAAACCTAAGTTTCTTTGTCATTTGCAACATGATTGTTGTTCACAGGAGAAGGAAAAAGAAAAGGGGACATTTGTGGTCAGATTGGTGGGAACCACTGAGCTAGTTGAAACCCTTCATTTTCCACAGAAGAAACCAGAGGCCCTGATGGGAAGTCTCATACCCAGGATCATAAAAGAAGGTGGTGACATACCAAGAAATGTGACCCAGAAACATGATTTATGGTCCCCACTCCACTTTCTTGCTTGAGAGTAGGGAGAGGAGAGAGGAGAGAGAAGGTGGCTACCAACAAGGGGAGATGACTCTTTATGGAAACATTGGTTCTGCAATCAGCTGGGGGCCCGGGGCCAAAAGTTATCCTGGATCCAAGTCCATATTTAAATCTTCCACCAGTGTTAGTGAAAAGAATTTTCTCAGCAGTACTTGGGCCAACCTCTACTGCGAACTGAGTCACCTCCATGAAGGTAGTAGATAGTGCCTTTCACCACATGCTGGGTGCTCTCAGCAGGTGGGCTGCACCTGCATAAGGGGTTCAGAGAATTCAAGAGTCACTGAAAGGGTACCTGTGGAAGAGAGGTGCTGGCTAGGCCAAGAGGGCTGAAATTTGAAAGTCGGTTGAGTCAACGAGAAAAAGTGGGGAAGGGAAGAGTATGAAGGAAGCAGAAAAAGAAAGCAAGGAGTGGAGGTGATAGAGTGCGAGGTGAGGGAGGAAGACTCTGAGGCTCAAGCTTGCATGGGCCAGTTACAGGGTTTGTCCTTAACTCCACCACTAAGTCACCAAAGAGTCTAAACAAGGGAGGAGCATATCAAATTTCTTCTTCTTCTTCCCCTTATTCCCCTTCTTCTTCTTCTTCCTCTTCTTCTTTTTTTGTTCTTTTTTAGAGATCAAGCAAGTTGCACTAAAAGGAATTTCAGAGTTAGACAGAAGAGTTCACAGGACTGACCTCACTTCTGACACCAGTCAAAAGTTTGGAGGTCCTCAAGTCCACTCATCGATAACACACCAAAAAGATTCGCAGAAGCTGATGAAAAGCTGGGAAGCCCATGGTTATGGTTTATTAGAGCTAAAGGACACAGGTTAAAATCAACTAAAAGTAGAAGCACAGAGCCCAGAGACCAGGAAGTTTCCATATGCAGAGCTTCCAGCTGTCCCCTCCCCATGGAGTCATGAACAACAAAACTCTCCCCATGTCGGTGTGTGCCAGGATACGTGGAGTATTGCCTACCAGGGCAGCTCACCCAAGCCTTGGCATTCAGTCTTTGCTGGGGCTCATGCTCATAAACCTATTGGCTGCCAATGTGGTTGACATGTCCCCATTCCCTTCAGAGGTCAAGCTGATGTCTCGTAACCCAAAGCCTTCACCCTAAATCACATTGTTGGTGTAGTCCAAAACCCCCAGGAAACAAAGATACTCCTGTCAGGAATAATATTCTAAGGGCTTAAACATTATCTCCAAAGAGCTGAGGGCAAAGGCTGGCCTGTCTTTGAGCAAGGCCAAATGCTCAACACAGGAATGGACTGAAGAGGGGCTGAGAGAGAGATAAGAAGACCCTCTAGAAATGATTGCAGAGTCCAAGTAAAAGATAGAGGTGGAGGGGATGGATGCCAACGGTGGGGAGGAAGACACAATCAGTAGAGGTTTGATCAGTTTCATTGGAGATTTAAGAAATTCTGACAACCTCCACTCCAACAAAGATGACATAATGGAGACTGGATTTACTATGCTGTGTGATACAACCAAAGTAACATGCTGAGGGTCATGCTGTATAGTTTATATATACATATATAATTTTAAAATAATGCATATCTTTTTTAGCATTTATTTATTTTTGAGAGTGATGAGAGAGCATGAGCAGGGAGGGGCAGAGAGAGAGAGAAACAGGGGATGCGAAGCGGGCTCTGCGCTGACAGCAGTGAGCCCAATGCAGGGCTTGAACTCACCAACCGTGAGATCATGACCTGAGCCGAAGTTGGACATTTAACTAACAGAGCATCCAGGTGCTTCCAAATAATACATATCCTGAGAGATATATACATATATCTCTCTCAGGAGTTTTCAAAACCATGAAGTACATCAGGCAATGGAAGGCAGCACTGTCAGTGAGATAAGAAAAGAATTTAGGTGAGGTGTCACAATTGTCCCAGTTTACCGGCTTGACAGTTTCCAGGAGAGGTTGAAAACATGGAACTGAGAACAAGAGAGAATAAGTTGGACAGAGTTTGCATAACAGAGTACTGAAGAGAAGACAGCTGGAAAAAGAGAGAGAGAAAGAGAGAGAGGGAGAACTCCCGAAAGGGTATTCCCAAAGCATCCAACTGAGTCTGGACCACAGCATATGTATGAGGAAACTATGCAAGGCTAGAGAAAGAATCATCCAATGGGATAAGGGACTAGTGCCTGGGGCTCTCACAGAACCAGGAATAGTCCCTGTTCCCACCCACCAGACTGGAAAGCCTCACAATTCATGGCATATTCGGTACAGCAGTCAGAAAGGCTTGGGTTCAGTCAAGGAAAACAATTAACCTTAGATTGAATACTACTCTTATTCTACCTAACAAAACTTGAAAGCAAAACATTCACTTATTTTCGAGTAAATTAATCACACCACATAGCAAAGCTCAAGAATATACAAATACAAAAATATCCAGCACCTAACAAGGTAAACTTCACATCTGGCATTCAAGCAAAAATTAACAGGCATTCAAAGAAGCAGAAAAATATGACCAATAAAAAGACCAAAATAAAACTTCTAGAGGTGAAAATATAATGTCTGAAATGGAAAATTCACTCTATGGGACAAATAGAAGATTAGACCTTGAAGAAGAAAAAATTAACAGTTTGAAGACATGAAATAGAAATGATCCACAATGAAGCAGAAACAGAAAAACAAAAATTAATGAACAGAGAATTAAATGCATCAGTGAACTGTGTGGCAATTTCAAGTAGCCTAAAATATGTGAAATTGGAGTCCCAGAAGATGAGAAGAGGTAGGAACCGATTTTTTTGAAAAAACAACAGCTAAAATGTTTTTCCAGATTGGATGAAAACTATATATTTTTTTTAAGTTTAGTTATTTATTTTGAGAGAGACAGAAAGAGCAGGGTAGGGGCAGAGAGAGAGGGAGAGAGAGAGAGAATCCAAGCAGGATCCAGATGCTTAACCAACCGAGCCACCCAGGTGCCCCTGAATGAAAACTATATTTCACAAATCCAAGGGGCTCAATGAACCCTAGGAACAAGAAACATGAGTAAAACTACACCAAAGAATCAAATTGCTCAAAATCAGTAGTGAAGAGGAAATCTTAAAAGCAGTAAGAGGAAAAAAGGTCAAGACATACAGAGGAATAAAGGTACAAATTACAATACATTTCTTCTCAGAATTATGAGGGCTAGAAAACCGTGGGGCAACTTCTTTAAACTACTGGGAAGAGGGGCGCCTGGGGGACTCAGTCTGTTAAGCAGCCGACTTTGGCTCCAGTCATGATCTTACAGTTCATGAGTTCAAGCCCTGCGTCAGGCTCTGTGCTGACAGCTCAGAGCCTGGAGACTACTCAGATTCCATGTCTCCCTCTCTCTCTGCCTTCTCCCTGTTCTCTCTCTCTCTCTCTCTCTCTCTCTCTCTCTCTCAAAAATAAATAAACATTAAAACAATGTAAACAAATAAAAATAAAAATGAAAAAATAAACTACTGAAAAGAAAAACAAACTGCCAACCTCAAGTTCTATAACCAGCAAAAATATCTCCCAAGACACAGAAGAAACCAAGACTCTGGAAAAAATGCAAAAGTCAAAAAATTATCTTTATTAGACCGAAAGAAAAATCTTCCAGATGGAAATATTTCAAACAAAGAAGAAAGAGCACCCAAAACGGTCAATACCTGGGTAAATACATAAGATGTTCTTCTTACTATTTGAATCTCTTTAAAGATAGTTGATGATTTAAACAAAAATAATAAGATATGGAAGGTAAAATATAGGGCAACAATAACACGAAGGGCAGGAAGGGAGAAATGGAAGTATACTCTTATAAAGTTCTTATACTGTACTTGAAATAAAACATCACTTCAAGTTAGGCTGGTAAGTTAAAGCAACCACTAGAATGATCAAATAAATAGCTATGGCTTATAATCCAATGAAGGAGGTACGCTGTAATCATAAAAATACTCAAATTTTTCAAAATGAGAACAAAAGGAAATGAGGAACAACAGATTGAATGAATAGAAAGATCGAACAGCAAGATGATAGATTTGAATCTAACTATATCAACAATCACACTAGGGGTGCCTGGGTGGTTCAGTTGGTTATGCATAGGATTCTTGGTTTCTGTTCAGGTCATGATCTCACAGTTCGTGGGTTCGAGCCCCATGTCGGGCTCCATGCTGACTGTGCAGAGCCTGCTTGGGATTCTCTCTCTCCTTCTCTCTCTGTTTCCCCCATTTGCTCACTCTCTCAAAACTAAATATAAAAGTAAACTTAAAAAAAAAACTTAGAAAATAATAATCACATTAAATATAAATGGTCTAAACATCACCAGTTGGGTGATTTTTTTCTATGCATGATATAATAAATGATGCTGGAATAACTGGATGTCTATATGGGGAAAAGAAGACCTAAAACCATACCCCACACCATATAAAAAAATTGACCTCAAATGAATTATGGCTGTAAATTGTGAAACCTACAATTACAAATCTTCTGGAAGAAAACAGAAATCAGTCTTCATGACCTCACTTGTCTTCCTCTGGACATTTTCTCAGGCCATTCTCCCTATCCGGAGTGCCCTTTCCCTCACCTCTGTGTATCAACACGTTACATCAACAACTGTCCTTCCAAATCTATAATTTTTCAGGATGCAAATCAAGTATGATCTCTTCCACATTCTCTGAATCCTTTTGTAATTTTCCAACCCATTCTAGTTTTTCAGTATTTCTCACTATCAAGATTCTTGAGAAATGTACATCCGAATTTTCCTATAAGACAGGGAGCTCCTTGAAGGCAGAGTTCAGGTCTAATTTGTATTCCATTTTCTCCCAGTGCTTAGCACAGCACTTAGCACAAAGTAGGCATTACCAGCTTTTACCAAGACCTTGCCATATGCCAGGAGAGTGCTGGGGATGACAGCACAGAGCCAGCTCACATGTTCTGCTGCTGGGATTCCAAGAGCTGGAAGCATACCTGTTAAATAAGCCTGTTCAGTGCCTTTATGATCACTGCAACATCAATCATTGAAACCACCATTATACTGTAAGTACTGAATAGTACAAATTTGGGCAGCTCAGTATCTTTATCCCATGTGTCCAGTTCAGAAGCTAATGCACATGTGTAATGGAATCTCTCAATCACTCAAGAACTGCACTGGTCATTTTCATAATAATTTCTTGGGTTTTTTTTTTTTTAATGCTATTTCTATTTGGTGCCATTATATCACTGAAATAGGGACTTGGCCTCAGTTCTAGTATTGCTGGGGGGGAAATGTAGGCTTTATTACAAATTTACATCCAAGAAGGTGGGCTGGCAGGACCAGGGAGGATTTTTCTGGTATAGGAGGCTCCCAAGAAGGCTGGAGCCATTCTCAACCAGATCCAGAAATTAGCAGGGAGAAACTGGCATCCGTGACTTTGCCCATTAAGTGAAAAGTTGAATGTGCCAACTTCTACATGGACTGCCGGAAATGCTGCCCCGAACACCACCCAGCCTCTGCCTCAAGACATTCCAGTGCAACAAATGTGCAAAAGCCATGGCAATCCCAGACTCTGTGACCACACAGAGGGAAGGCACCTAGCTCAGACCTGAGGGAAAGTGAGAGAGGGCTTCCTAGGAGAGGAGTCACAAAGGCTCAAGGAAGTCTACGGTCTAACCAGAAACAGATTGACACATGCATAGTTTTCTGGGCAAAACCCAGATGCTGAAAAGCAGAAGGCCACTCTGGGCCCTTGGGAGAGGGGTGGGTGAAGCCAGGGGTGAGAGGTCAGGAGCCTCCTGCTCCAGCTAGATCATGAAGGACAAAGGGCCCACAGTGCAGAGCTCAGCATTTAGGCTTTACTTTGAAGGCAATGGGGGTTAATGAGAAGTCCAAATACACAGCAGAGGGCATGTGATTGGCTGCCCTAATGGGGGGAGCTTGAAGGACCCCAGAGGGACCTGTGCAGCCTGCTTCAGAAGAAGGAAGGCCATTCTGAAGGGGTGGTGTAGGCGGAAGCACCCAGATAATAATCAAATCCCCAGAGAAGTAGGTTACAAACTGAGTAAATGCTAGGAAGCCTGGTCCCAGGGGGCTAGGAGGGCCTCAGGAGGTCAGGAAAGCCTCCCCAGAGAAGTAATATTTAGGGGGGACCAAAGAGATATGAAAAGTAGGTGAGACAGGATAAAGCCTTCCAGGCACAGAGAACAGCATGTGCTAAGGCACTGAGGCAAGCGGGGAAGCTCTGGCATTTTCTAGGCTCTCCACACTCATCTTCCATGACTCCCCCACTCCAGTGACCCTGCGCATATCTGGTCTTTCCCATCTTCCAGTCTGTGTTGCTTGTCCTTCCCCGGGAGCCCCCTGGGGCCAATTCCAGGGACACCTCCTCTGTGGAGTCCTCAGTGCTTACCTGGCACTTGGCCATGCTCTGCTCTGTGTCCCCACAACACTGTATACGTGTCTCCTCTCTAGGGTTTATCATTTTCAAAAAGATTTACACATTTGGCCTTCCCACTAAATCGCAAGTGTCTTGGTCCAGAGACCATCTTTTATTTCATCTTTTGTTTTCAACTCTGGCTTTCCCCATCGTCTGGCGCACAGAAGGCCCTCGATGAGCGGGGTTTTTACATGGAGAGAGTCATCCAGGTTTCCGAACCTCAGCACTACTGACACCTGGGGCCAATACTTCTTTGTTTGGGGGACGCTCCTGTACGTAGCATCCCTTGTCTCCTGGCTTCTAGATGCCAGCAACATCCTCCACCCCAAACCAGGACCACCAAAAATGTCCCCTGGGGCTAGAAATTGCTCCCAGTTGAGAACCACTGGATTAGTCCAGTCAAGGCTCTCACTTTTCCAGCAGGGAAACGGGGGAGCAGAGGTGGTCTGGCGGCCAGGCTTCTCCTCTCCCTGAAGAGCTTCCAGTCAACCGGCACACACGCAATCAAGAGGGAGCCGAAAAGTCAGGCGGTCTCCAAACACACAGATTGCCTTATCTGAAGTCTTCTGCCAACATCAACTCTCTGACCGCGGAGTTGATCCCCATCTTGTAAACAAGAAGGGAGGTGGCTCAGAGGACGACGCCCTCCCTCGCAGGCACCGAGAGAGGCTGGCCTCCCTCCAGACCCCGGGAGGTGGCCACCCCGAGTCTCCACAGGACACGCAGCCCTGCCACGCGGCCACTGAAGCTGCCAGGCGAGGAGCGCCGAGGTCCAGCCCCAGAAGCCTTGCCTGGGGCTGTAAGTGACAGACCCAGCAAGGAGCAAGTGAGGAAGATAGCCCCCCAGGAGCAGAAATTCAGGGGCAAAGCCTTCTCACCCTAGAGGTTTACCAACCAGGACAGGAGTTCGAAGGTCAGGCGTGTCCATGTGGGGCCAGCTCAGGCTACGCTTGGCTCTGCACCCTACTGGGAGCATAACAATGCAGCGTCTCTGAACCTCAGTCTCCTCACCTGTAAAACGGACGTAATCGGACCACATCTCATAAGCCAACGGTGTGGAGTCCTTGGCACAGCGAGTTCTTACCAAGGACAGGGTAAGCACGCGTATGTGTCGCCATTGTCTGTACACACAAACCAGGTCCAGAGAGTGGCCTTTCCCCGAAAGATTTTAAATGTCTGAAGAATGGCGAGGAGGCTCTGTGACATGTGGCTGTGGGGTGGCAGGAGAGGAGAAGCCCAGATCTGCCTTCTCACTTCGGTTTCCTCGTTGATGAAGAGGAGAAAACGAAACCTCTCCTCCTCGCTTGTCAAAGCTGTGGTGAGGGTCAACCCAGATGAGCGTTTTCCTAACATTTGTGACTGTGACTCACGGTAAGAAACATACAGTAAAGCCTCAGATTGTGAGTAATGTGCTCTGCGAGCGTTCCGCCAGGCAAGCAAACATTGCTAACAAATTTTAACTTGATACACGAGCGACGTCTTGTGATACGAGTAGTACGTGATGGCAAGCGTCACAGGATCACAACTGAGCTAGTGGTTCTCTCTCTCTCTCTCTCTCTCTCTCTCTCTCTCTCTCAGGCTGCAAGATTGTGGGTGACCATCTCCCATGCTCCGATGCTCAGTCTCAGGCCACTTCTAAGCACCTATGGACGGTCCTTTGCTTTTCCATACAAAAGTAAGCTCGGGAACACTTTGCTTCATTCTAGGTCAGGCTGCCTGCAGACACAGACCCTTTCCTCTGCTGCCTCATTGCCAGTTCGATTAAATACAGTCTGTGACAAGAGTTTATTAATACTGTACTGTAGTCAACTTCCGTGCAAGCGTGTACAATGGCCCCCATGCAGAAAAAGATTCCATGGAGCCAATAGATAGCAGTGATTCCATTAGGGACAGTGAAAGTCGTCCTACACAGTAATCCTCCTCTCTCTTGTGTCCCTCACACCAGTCAGGAAGGTTTCCAAAGTGCAGGCTAATTTGTTCATTTTTCTTTATATTTTATATTTTCTTTATAATTTTGTATTATATTACAGGATTGCAATCGTTTTTATATGAATATTTTTGGGTTGTGGAACGAATCATCTGAGTTTCCATCATTTCTTGTGGGGAAATTCACTTTGATATATAAGTACTTGGGATTACAAGCATGTTTCCAGAATGAATTATGCTTGCAAACCAAGCTTTTACTGTATAGTAAAATCCAGAACGCACACAAATGAAACAAAAAATGTCCTGAAACAATTATCTCCCTTACTGTGTATAATGCACTCTGACAAATCCTAATCTATTCGGTTTGGGTTTTTGAAATCCAATCACTCGGGTGATCTCACGACCCACTAGTGAGTCACGACCCTGCATTAGAAAAACACTACGTTTTGCAATCGATGGGAGAGTAGAGCGATGATCAAAAGTTTGCAGATTAGCATTATGGGTGGTGTTCCAGTTAAAAACATTGCTGCATAACAAGCACCAGTAAAACTTAGTGGCTTACACCGATAATTTATTATTGACTCTCACAAGTGGGAGGATTACATGGTCCGGCTGGGATTGTCGTCATCTGAAAACTCAATTGGGCTGGACATCCAAGATGGCTCCCTCAGATGGCTGGTGGCCGGCTGAGAGGTCAGCTGTCAGCTGAGGCTGTCAGCTGTCATCGGCCTCTCCCCATAGTTGCACATGGCTTCTCCGTGCGATGTAGACTTCTCGCATCGTGACAGCTGGGTTCCGAAAGAAAGCGAACCAAGAGTAAAGTTTCCAAGAAGCCAGAAGCGAGGGCCTCCAAGCCATTACAGGTTCTGCCTGGAAGGGGTCAAAGCAGTCACAACATCATCCCAGATTCAAGGGGGAAACACAGACTTCACCCTTGCAAGAAAGGATTGGAAAGGTCACATCGCAGGAGAGCTGCGGGATGGGAGGCATGGCTGCTTCCATGTGGAAAATACAATCCGCCACAATCGCTGATCGGGTGAGCCTCTCTCACTCAGCTCTTCCGGGATGGCGGGCAGATCACTTTTTTCTGTGCTGGTCTCCAGGTTTTCATCAACAGAAAAGGAGGACTCATTACATGTGTCAAAAGACTTTCCAACTCTAACCTTCTATGATCAGGATAAAGTTGGAGAACACATACCCTGCCTTACATTTTGTGTATTTGACATAGGCTAAAATCACCCCTCTCGCTCACCTTGACTCTTGCTTTGTATCGGCCAAACCCCGAAATTCTCCTGTGGGTGTTCAATCACCTCTTTTCCCTGCCACCAGCCTGGCGAAGTCGTGCTGATGGGATCCTTGCGGGCTGGCCTTGATTCTCACTCCTAGTACCTATCAAGATAGGAAGAAGGTTCTCTGAAGTATCCATTTGGCGAAAACCGATCACTGGTGCAAGGAGTATTTGCAGCAGGCGGGGAACCTTGCTCTCCACCAGGCCTGCACCAGCCACGCAGGATAGAGGCAGAAACCGCTAGGATTTTACGAAGCGTCACTTTGTCAGGGCTCAGAGGAGGTGGAAAAGAAACACAGCAGCCAGACCTACAAAAAGGGCGAATCTGCCAGACTTCAAGATCAACTCCAGCATACGCTAAAATGACTGCTTTTCAGAGGGAATCGTATTTCCTGTCCACTGCATCGAGAAGCTAGAGGCACTTAAAGAATTTGAATCTGTTCTCCTTCTCTTCGGATACAATCACTAATCTTGCCTCCTTGCCTTCTTTCTTTTTTTCCTGGGGAGGCAACCTACTCACCTAGCACATAAAATACTCATATTATGACACCCAGGCTTTAGAGATTTACATGAGAATCAGCAAACCTTATTTTAGCCCAATATAGAGAATGTGTGATGCATGGAGGGAACTCTGGGTTTATTCCCCAGATAAGTCATTTATTTCTTTCCTCAAAGAAAAATCCAATATCCTGAGATCAGATGCATATTGAAGCTTTGGTGGAAAAGAACCAGACAGGGCTGGATTAACATGTTCACGTCGGCCTCTCCCCATAGAGTGATCTGTGAAGATGTGGGAGCCTCCGCGGAAGAATCGCCCCAGTGCCTCTGACCTGGTCATTGGCCACAGCAGCCTGGGACGGGTTAGCGCCCGCCTCACCCGAGCAATTCTGGGAGCACTTTCTGATTTGCCAACTCGTGAGACATGCACACTTGCTCTCCATGTTTCAAGAGGTTATTTATCAGCAAGCAGAAGACAGCAAGCCTGGCCTTCAGGGCTCTCGTGGACCCTCCTTCCTACCCGCTGGCCCTGCACGTGCAGCCACGCCATCCGGGCCAGGCTGCTGCAGGTATCTGGGCTCAGCACACGCTGAGCACATGCTGCTCCCTCTGCCTGTGACACTTTCCTGCCCCATCCCTACTTAGGGGCACCTATTCATGAAACGCCAAACAGCGCCTCGCACACAGAAGCACTGGTCCATTTTAACCGAATAACTGGACAGACGGAAAAAGAGCGACCGATCAGCCACCGGCCAGGCTGCAGGCTTTATCTCCCAAACATCACCTTTCAGTCCAATTATTTGGAACGAGCCTCGAGAAATGACACCACCTTCCATGGTAGATTCTCAGAGCAGAAACCGAGGAGTCTCTTCCCTGGTCCCTGCCTCTCTCTCACACCACACATCCCTGTCACCCACAAGTTCGGCCCAAGCCACCTCTGAAATAGGTCTTAAAACCCCATCCAGGGGCACCCGGGTGGCTCAGTCAGTTGAGCGTCCGACTTCAGCTCAGGTGGTGATCTCGCAGCTCGTGGGTTAGAGCCCCGCATCAGGCTCTGTGCTGACAGCTCAGAACCTGTATCCTGCTTCAGATTGTATCTTCCTCTCTCTCTGCCCCTCCCCCACTCACGCTTTGTCTCTGTGTCTCAAAAATATATAAACATTAAAAAAATTGGGGGGGGGGGGTGGTCCTGGGTGGCTCAGTCAGTTAAGCGTCTGACTTCGGCCCAGGTCATGATCTCACTGTTGGTGGGTTCAAGCCCGGCATCGGGCTCTGTGCTGACAGCTGGAGCCTGGAGCCTGCTTCGATTCTGTGTCTCCCCTCTCTCTGCCCCTCCCCTCCTCATGCTTTGTCTGTCTCTGTCTGTCAAAAATAAATAAACGTTGAAAAAAAATTTTTCGTTTTAAAAACCCATTCACATTTCTCCTTCCCCAGAGTTCCACCATCTCTTACCTGGGTCCCCTTAAGCCAAGGATTTGTTGCCCGCGGCCAACAGCCTGCCGCTGGCACCCCCTTCTGAACCTCCTCCAAGAGCACGCACATCCCAAGGCAGCCCCAGCCAGAGACTGACAGACAGGAGGCCGAAGTCCCGGCCATTCGGCCGATGTGGGCCGTCGACACCCAACGTGGGGCTGGTTGAGGTGCTGGCAGCCTGCGTCCCAGCTAGGCTTCCTCCTCTACGCCCCCCTGCTGCCTCTCCTGCCCTCCCACAGGGATTTGTCCCTAATAAATGCCCTGCCCATCACATTCCAGCTCAGCGTCTGCTTCCTGAGACTCTAACCTCCGATGTGTGTGGAGGTGGGTAGGATTCCATCCAAGCAGCTGCGTGTTTAGTTCAGACGTCGGCCTGCTGCAGAGTCCTTTTGGGCCACTACAACCCAACACTACAGACTAAGGGATTTCAATAACAAACATCCTGGTTCATAGACAGGGGCATTCTGCTGTGTCCTCACATGGCAGAAACACGAAGAAGCATGTCGGGGTCTCTTTTACAAGGACACTAATCTCATTCACCTCCCAAAGACCCTGCTTCCTGGGATTTGGGATTAGAGCCTCACCATATGGATTTGAGGGACATAAACGTGCCATCCATGGCACGTGCCGGGTTAAACTGCATTCTTAAAAGGGGTCCACTGCTGACAATTAGAAAATTATTAAAGCTTTTGCACCACACAGCACTTCCTCCTAAACGCAGTATCTCCAGGGAGAAAAGAAAGACAAGATGTGGGGGCTGGGGGGGGGGGACAAGAAGAAGGAAGACATCTGGGGCTTTCAACAGAGCACAGGACCCTGTGTGATGCTGTCTCCTCTCTGCCCTTTGTCCTAAATTGTCGCACACACACTTTCTGCATTCAGCTGGTCTCCCCCTAGACTGGAGCCCCTTGAGGGCGGGGACAGTGCCCATCCTTCTGCATAGCACGTGGACAAGGCCCAGACGAGGCAATGACGTGCCATGAGTGTGCAGGAGGTGCGTGCACACTCTTGGTCAGGTTTTTTGGTCTACATTTCTTTCTATCACTGCAGCTATGTATGTCTTGAAGTCAGGTAAAATGACTTCTCCCACTTTGTTCCTGTTTTTCAAACGCATTGTAGCTATTCTAGTTGCTTTCCATATGAATGTTCAAATAATCCTGCCTCAGTCTGCAAAAACCACGCTGGCATTCTGATAGGAGTTCCATTAGACCTATCAATTCGGGGAGATTCTATACCTTTACCACCTTGAGTCCTCCGACATGAACACAGAACATCACTCCATTCACGTGGACCGTCTTTGATTTCTTCCGTCAGGATTTTGTACTTTTCAGCAACCAAGCTCAGTATGAGTTTTCTTAGATTTACATCCAAGTATTTTTGGGAGTGTTTATAAATGGTATTGCATTTTTTATTTTGATTTCCATGTGTTCATTGCTAGTACACGGAAATAAAATCTTGTTTTGTATATTTATCTTGTATCCTATAACTTTGCTGAGCTCAATTATTAGTTCTAGGAGTATTTTTGTAGATTCTTCGGGATTTTCTTTTTTTCAATGTTTATTTACTTTTGAGAGAGAGAGAGAGAGAACAAGCCAGGGAAGGGACAGGGAGAGAGGGAGCCAAAGCAGGCTCCAGGCTCCAAGCTGTCAGCACAGAGCCCGATGCGGGGCTCGAACTCACGAACCTTGAGATCGTGACCTGAGCTGAAGTCCGATGCCTAACCCACTGAGCCACGCAGGAACCCTGGGGATTTTCTATATATACTATCATGTCATATGCAGGTGTATACTTGTTTTGATTACTACCTTCGGTTTATAGCACATAATCCTAATTTATAATAACAGTCTAACGTTTCCATTTTAAACAAGTTCATGTAAAAAAAAAAGTGAACAGATTTACAAGAAAATGTTAAATAAATAGCAGTAAAGGAAGTGCGCAAAGAGGACAAAAGTTGTCAGCGCTGACACAGCATGAGAAACCTTGCGTTATGTCATGGAATGTTCACACCAGCCGTGCCCCCACCAGGTGCGGCCCACCTCCTGACAGTATCAGAGGATACAAGGAAGGCTAGGAGGGAGCACACAGGGACAGAAGATAGCATCGTTGCCAGTATTGAGTTTTTGCCAACATCTTCACGGCACTAGCTCCACGTTCCTTAAAAACCCAGAGATCGGTCGGTTAGGTCAGCAGCAGGTAAAACTTGGGGATGAAGGCTTTCCACGTTAAGTTGTCTGGCCCAGAGGGTCTTTGCCAGTGTGGCTGGTACACCAAAGCCCTCCTAACATACTCACCCAAGCTCCGCCCTCCCGCTGGCCACCCTAATTAGCTTTTGCGCCAACGGCTTCATCAGATCTAATAAAAATCTCTCCCTCCGAATAAGACGTCTCATGACATCACTCCCCTCAGGGGAGCTGGGAAGATGACCTTCCATTTGATGGAAGAGGAGGATTCATTGTGATGGTCTGCCCCGGCTAATGTGTGTTTAGACAGAGCAGGACGATCGATACCAAGGAGAGGATGCTGATTTGACTCACCGGAGTTGAGGAAAGGACGCTGCTTCCCCATCCATTTTTATAAATCACTTTAAAGGCCTATCGATCTTTCCCTGGGCACTGAGGGGCACCAACCCCCTGGGCAGCAGTCTGTCAAGCCCCTTAACCCTTTCTAGTGTCCCGCTCCCGGCGAGAGCCATCGGCTTGCAGACACTTGGGCTGATGCTCCGTCCCTGGGCCCGAAGCCTGGCTGAACCAGTCCACCAAGTGTGGTTTTCAAGGCATTTGGGAAATAAGGAGGTGCCCTTCACCCCTACGCGCACATACACACACACGTACACGCACATGTACACACACTGACGCACATCATCTCACGTGCAAATACAGAGACCCATGTGAACCCAGCACTGAAATAAAGCAAAAGCATGAAGTTCACACACAGGCAATAGGTCGTAAACCACCATTTACCAAGACACAGGGGCCATTCGCTATCTCTCCAACTGTATTTATGTTGACCCAATTTCACTACTTGGGAAGTTGGGAAACAGCGTATAATGGGGTTCATTCTGGGCCACCCCAAACTTCGGGGACAACTCTGATTTGGGTCTCTCCTTCCCCGGGCTCAGAGATGTCACCCACACGTCTAACTAATGGCTCTCAACCACAGTGCTACCAAACACAGGTGCACCATGGAGATAGCTTTTGAGATGTCCCAAGTTGTTATTAAAAATAGTCACTTAAAAGAGAGCTTTGGGTTATTTTTATAACTTCGAGCAGAGCTCATCCCTGGAGGAGCATCACTATGGAGCATTTGAGTCCCAGGCTGCTCTCCTGAGTCGGTGATTTCTCGCCCCAGTGGCCCGACACGTCTCTACTTCAGCCACTCCCCATGGCCCCTCATCTTTGCAGGGGATTGTGTGGCGTCCTGTGTCGGTGGGGTTGGGCTCTGCACATGACCATGAAGGGATGGGGTCCAGCCGGCAGCTAGGAGCCTGTCCGGAGCTCAGGATAGGTGAGCCATCGAGGTACGAGTGCAGGGTTGTTTATGCGGCAGTGACAGGGCACCTCCACTGTCCTCAGTGACGGCCACTGTCAACATGGCCTCCGATAGGGCATCTGCTGACCACTGGAAACTTCTCAGGTTGGGGTCCAGGGCCTCCCGGGAACACAGAGAAGGACATGGGCAGTGAGTGGGGTGCCTGGCACTAACCTTGAACGTGCCTCCTTCTTTGTCTTCATAACAACTGGTTCCATCACTTTTATGGAACTAAAACCAAAACTTCTAGCAGGGACCAGAAATAGATCCTGCCAATCCCATGAGGAAAGGGAAGGGAGGGGCACAGGAGGGGAGAGAAGGGGTCTCTCTTGCCTGAGCCTCCTCCACTCCTCAGTCCCCTGTCCACCACGGCTCCTTCTGTTCCCACCTTGGTCCCTCCCAGGTCACTCTCTTCCAATCTGGCAAACAGGGTGGCCTTCCCAAGGCACCAAGAAACAGGTCACCTCCCACCAAACCCTCAGTCTCCTCCCACGAAGAAGGTAAAATCAGACCTCTTTCTTGGTGCAGTTAACTCCTCACCCCAGACCCTCCAGCCCCCGCCGGGGAACCCGATCCAGATCCCCCAACGGTGCCCCATCCCCCCTCTCCTCCCTTCACGTTCCTGCATCGTCAGCCCCAACTTCAGGTGGAGAAACCGAGGTTTGGAGAGACTGAGCTGCTTGCCCCAGGGTCACACACCAGGACGTGCCCAGACCTGAAGCCCACGCCCTTTCTCCCACGGGAAAAGGGTCAGATGGTTAAGCTTGGCCAAGACGGAGCAGAAGCAGAATTATGGCCCGAGGTTCCCGGGCAGCCCCAGTCGGTCAGAGGCCCATCTTCTCCCCCGGGGTGACCTTTGCTGGGTCACTGAAGGCCTCGGGCTCTCACTTGGAGCAAAGTCACAGCCTGGAAAGCTTACTGGAAGGAGCAAGGGCCAGGTCCTGGGTCTTTCATACAAACGCAATGGCATCCTGCAGGCAGAGTCTGCTTGCCTGGTTCGGGAAAGTCAGAGAGCATTCGGGTGGGGGGAGACTTGATAGGAAACCCCTCAAGTTTCAGGGGTAACTCTGATCCGGGAGGCCCCGGGGACATGCTTGAGTGTCCACCCCGTAGGATTAGAAAAAGTGCAAGAAAGCATGCTGGCAACCAGGAGCTCTGAGCAAATGGGAGTTTGCTGTAACCAAGGCCGCCTGGCTGCCTGGCTGGGAGTCGGGGGGGGGGGGGGGAACGCAGCAAGAGGAAAAGGCTGGGAAGCAGCTGGAAAACGCTCTTACGGGCTGGCCTCCAGCAGAGAAGTGCTGATCTGCAGAATCGTTTTCTCCTAGAAGACTCTATCTGCCTGTACCTTGCTGTGCGATCCCGAGTAAGTCCCTGAACTTCTCTGAACCTCTTTCTTACAGCTGTAAACTCAGCATATTGGGCTAGCCTTTTAGATCTTTCCAGGCATGAAAGGTACACGAAATATCACCACGTTCCCCCAGCTCCATGCCACGAGGCGCAGGCACCCGCATCCTGGGAGGTGTCCCTGCTCCCATATTCAACCCAGACTCTGAGAACCACGTGGTTCCCGAGGTTGCAGAACGAGATGGGGGCCCGGGGCCAGGAGCCGAACCAGCTCCATCTGCCTCCAGGGCGGTGCCCTCCCTCCTTGCAGGCGCTGGCCTGAACCGGCTGGCCAGCCCCCCAAGCCTCCCATGCTGGTGGGACAGCCGCCAGGCACAGCCAGTGTGTCCTCCACGGCAGCC